CCTGCTGAATAATCGCACAGCTCCATTATCTGTGGGGGAGTCCTCTCTTCCAGCGTTCTCTTGCAAGGCTGTACTGCCTATTGGGAGCTTACAGATAAAGCCGAGACACCCCACAGGAAGCATGTACTGAAAGACCATACAGATTGCAACACTATCACTTATCCCTTTCATGCTGTCTTGCTCCATAAAGAGAGGGTCAGTCACAAAAGGCTGCCTTTGTCACTAAACAATCACAGCCCTGGTGCCTTCCCTAAGACTTTTCTCAACCTGTAAGTGCATAGGGCACAACAGGAGCACAGTGAACAAAAATGCTGAGCAGCATGAGCCCTACATCCTGATCTCCACACTGATTTCTAATGGGAAGGACACAGTGAAGCTGTCTGTTAAGTTTATACTTGGAAACCTGACAACAACCTCCCTGTATTAACAATACTCTGGACCATACTTTTCCAAATTAACACCATTGTCTCCAAGCCCTTTGGACTTTAATATTTGCCAAATACATAATATCTGGACTTGCATATTTGCCAATCACTTGTTTGCTTAGAGTCCTTTCAAAATCTCTACTTACAGGGGCAAAAAGAGTTTTGACATTCAAATGGTAAACTGGAAGGCGGAGAGATGGTGGGCTGGACACATTGCTCTGGCTTCCTTGGTCTGTTCTGCTCTTTGTGAATTTTTGAGGGAAAATAGGTGGTTGTTCTTTGAAAGAGGGAGGTTCAAGGCAGTGAGGGTGTGAATGGCATTGGCTGGCACCGGCTATAAACACAGCACTCTCACTGGTTTCCAGTGTACATTTTCAGCACAGTTTGAGAGACTGGAATTTCCAGATGACGTGCTCGATATATGTGGTGGGGGTGGAGGGCAGAAAGGGTCCTTCTTTTTCATGTTCACTTCTGGCTGTCAGTCAAACAGCAATCAGCTCCAATTAAGGGGATATGCAAGGAATTTCATTATAATGTCAACACTCCGTTCCATCAATACAGAGGTAACGAAAAGAAGCTAATTTAAATTTAATTTTTTTTTTTTAAAGAAATAACCTCAGTCACACTTGACTGTGGTATCACCAGATAAACAGTTAATCACAAAGGTACATGAAGTGGTTGACAAATCCTTCATTATCCGGTTGGGGTTTTACTTTGTTTTTTTTCTGTGGGGGCCCTGGTTTCTGTTTCATTTGCTTTCTGATTACTGCAGTGCTGACTTAACTTTCTCCAGCAGACTGCCTTCAGTTCCTAAGAGGTTCAGCTTCTCATCCATTAACCCCTTACTGCAGGGAATCTTGCTCACCTGATCTTAGCAAAAGAAAACAGATAGAGAGACCAGAGTACTACATGGAGGAAAAAAGTCCAGCTCTGGACTCATTCCCATGTCACTTCACATCTAACTTTCTGTGTGACTTTAAAACATGTCCCAGTTAAAAGCAAGCACTTACCAAGGTTACCAAGCTTCTCAATGTTCAATAGATACTCTCAATCCTGTGATTTCTACCTGTGATTACTTTCTTAGCTGCAAAATGGGCATAGTTACACTGCAACAGTAAAAAATCTGATCTATTTTGTATTCATTGATCCAGGGAGGGGAAAATTTCCAGGGAGCATAGCTGCCTCTCCAACTGTACCAATGTGAAAACACGTCGAATATGTAGCTGTCAGGTTGCTACTCCATTTAATCTACCCTCATAGTCCTTGGTGAGATCTGCAATTAGCAGCTGCTCCAGCCACAGGGCCGCATTCTGCTCCAGCTGACCCCATAATCTACAAAGACATTTTGAAGGTGCTTTTGACTTCCTCAACCCATATTAAGATTATCTGTGGTGCAGCTGAGGGTCAGGTCTGGGATGGTGCTTTTGTATCTTCTTGCCCTGCTTGTTGTTCTGCTATGTGCTGTTAATCCTGCAGAAAAAGCTGATGATTTCATCAGAATTTGACATATTCTAGATCATTATTTCATAGTCAAATTACTTAAACCTTTGGGCACTGAAAACTGTGTTTTGAGGAGAACAAGTGCCCTTCTAGAATCAGGCTGGCTAGCAGTTTAGTAAGTATCAGTAGTAAGAGTGAAATAAATTCTAAAAGCAGTGATCATCTGGGGTAACCAACACCTGGACTATATAAAAAAGTATGATAGCCGTTATTACTAATGAATAGTAATAAGCTTAATACATACTCAGATACCAGATTTTTTTTTTAACACTATGAATTGTAACTAAACCACATAATAATAGTATCTAAACCCTTGTGAGCATGCACTAGTTTGGATGGAAGTAATTCTAGTTACACCAATTTCAGATTTTTAATTCAGCCCTCCTAAAGCACCCTAAAAGAAAGCCCCAAGGTGTTCCAGCATAGATACAAACGGGTGAAGGGTACAAACACTGTACTGTGCCTTATCTCCTCTCGATTTCTAGAAAAAAACCTGGAAAGCTGTCCGCTGCTGATGAGAATCTGTTTGGATTGAAGAACCTGCTGGATTATTTAAACCTCTGTTCCAGTGATAGCCAACATTGGCTGTTAAAAGTGAATTGTATGACTACATTCCCTGTAAAATGTGTCTCCATTTCCTTTCAGGTTGGAAAGCTGATCCAAGAAGCAGCTGGAAGGAGTAATTTGAAGAGAGTTACACTGGAGCTGGGTGGGAAAAGCCCAAACATTATTTTTGCAGATGCTGATTGTAAGTCAGCACTTCCATATTTTTCTTAAAACCATGTTTGTCTGATGCCTTCTTTTTTTTTTCTTTTTTTTTTCTTTTTTCATTTTAGGCCATATCTGTCATACAAAGAGAAATGGACCAATATAGCTGTATCTAATTGCACTTTTTAATCTTACAGAAGCAGCCTAAGGTGTGATTTTTTATATAAAAAAGACAACATTTGAACCCACAGATTCATAGCCAACAAGAAAATAGAAAAATTTTATAATTGAGCATATAGCAACGGCGTTATTCACAGTCATGGTCCCATACACATTTGTCATCCTAAACTGCAGAAAGGCGGTTTAGTCCTTTATATTGGGAAATTCTGTGATTATTTTGCTTCACAGCAATTATAAAAAGGGAGAGCTTTAATTTGTACTTGAGTTGCTAATCTAGTCAGTGCATATTCCTTTGTTAAGCTGTTTTGATACTAGCTATAAATAGCGATTATTCAATTTTTAAAAATTTTCTCAATTGAAGAATTGTGTATTGAAATATCCTCATTACCATTGTCAGCAGGGAGCTGAAGATTTTGGCAGCTGGATGATGTTGTGCAGCTGAGATTTTTGGCACCTGAGAAGGTACAGGACAGCCGTAGGATAGGATAAAAACACAAACTGGAAGTTTCTGCTTAAATGATCAGCAATGAAATAGTTAAAAATGTTGATATCTAAATTGTCAGCAGGAGGTTTTGAAGTTAACACCCCATTAAGATGAATGGGACAGTTCACACCTTGCTTTGAGCTATTGTTTCAGGCACACTGTACTCAATGCATTTTCTGAAAACTTTGTAACCCAAATAAATAGGCATAAGGATTTGGTCTTTTAATTTAAAAGGGGAAAGTGAATAGAAGAATGATTCTGAATAGCGTGAATTACAAGAGTTGGTTACAACCCTATATTAGCTTTCAAAACTTACCAGTGTCTGAACGACTTTCAGCAGCTTTTTTTTTTTTTTTCCCCCCCTGAACTTTAAGCAGCTGTTCTACACAGAAATGTTTTATCGAGTTGGGGGTCTAAATTACAGCCACAGTCATCCTGGTAAGCTCCTGTCAACTGCAGCCAGATGCAGATGTTACAGCCTTCTACCCAGTTACTCATGTCTATCTCCCACCAGAAATCACTGCATCTCCAGTGTCACTAACCTACTCAGACTGGATCACCTGAACACTTCTAGTAGAGTAATATATGCTGGGGGCAGGTCTGTGTTCCACAAGAGGAAGAACAAATGCTCCTAGCAGCCACACAGAGCTGTAGCTTATCTGTGACTTGCTGTATCTGCCAAATAACGTTGAGGACCTGGGGAGAAGTTGCAGGCAACAGGGGAATAACAGGGCTCCGAGGAGAGCACAGTCTTCTTCAGGACTGTCTTTTCCACAGTATAGCACACTAAAGCTCTCTGGTCTTCCCATAATTACAACCACCAGCACTTGACCTGAGATTCAGACTTCAAAGCTCTGACTATTTAAGAACAGCAGACAATTTGCTCACCATTCCAAAGGAGCTGTTTGTTCTGTTTGAGGAACATTATGTGCCAAAAGTTAGAAGAAAGCATGACAAAGCTGTTGAAAGTTCCGTGCACCAAAAAAACCCAGAGAAGAATGGTTAGAGCCCTCATGGTGAAAAATTGTGTTAACAATAGAGGAAGAAACATCAGTTAATCAGTTCTATCCACTAGTGTTTTCAATCTCCATGGAGGTGCCTATGAAAATTTGAATGTGGTCTGTGGAACATCCTATATAATTTTTTTTCAAGACCATACTGAGGGCAGAATAAGACACTTCTGTTAGATGGAGCTGTCTAGGATGTGCTGAAAGTAAAGCACTGTTGCTTTGTTTATTCCATAAAAGATTAAACTTTAAGCAATGTTCCAAAGTGCTACAGCTGATAACAGAGGTATTACAGTGCTGTAGGGCATCACCGTTCAAGGATGAATTTAATATTCTTGTCTAGTCAGCTATTACACCCAATGGGAGAATTTAGCTCTGAATGTCTAAATATGACCGGATCCTCTCTCCTGTTTGGATAGCGGATGTGTTAGTTGTACCCCCAATGAAGTTAAAGTAGAAATGAAGGGTTGATTGTTGTATAAATTACCTATATTTTTAAAGCCTTACACAGTCAACAGTATAGGCCAAGAAGATGTTTTTGTCTTGCAGAAAGGAGAGGTCTTCCCATTATCAAGGTCAAATTCTCTCAAGTACTTGGTTGGCTGTAATTCTCACATACGCAGTATTAAACCAAGTGCAAACTTGGGATCACAGACAAATTTTCCCCTCCTCTACTGACCCCAGTTGGACAGACTTCTATAATGTGGGGCACATTCCAATTACTAGGGTCTCTTAAGAGTTTTAGTTGATAAATTACATGTTGCTGGCATATAAGACTGATGAAGTTGTTCTTGCATACCCTATTCCTATAGACTGCTAAAGCAGTGACTTGATTTAATTTTTGCAGTGGGATATTAAGCAATATTTTGTGGCTTGGGCCACGAGATGGCATATGGAATGTCTTACCTATGGACCCTTCTTTACCTAGATGATGCCTGAAGTCCCAAGTGGTTCCTTGCAATCTAGTCTTTCTGAAACAGCTGTAATGCTCCTAAATATCCCTTCAGTATAGCTGGAACCCCCTGTGTCCATGGTGGAATAAATGGGGAAAAACATCAACTTCAGATATGTTTAAAACTTCTGTATTTTCACTAGAATTAAGCCACAAAATGAAATTAATCATCTTAATTTATGACCTGACACAACAATAGTATGATTTGATCACTGGTTTTATTTTGGTTTTTACCAAATCCTACTTCTGCTTTGAAGTTTTGGGAATGTGGCACTGTGATACACGTGACACAAGTACAATAGCAGATGTGTCTATGATGTTTCAGAGCAACATATGCTGTCTCAATTTTTTTAGTGGACTATGCTGTGGAACAAGCTCACCAAGGGGTCTTCTTCAATCAAGGTCAATGCTGTACTGCAGGCTCACGGATTTACGTGGAAGAATCTATCTATGAAGAGTTTGTTAGAAGAAGCGTAGAACGTGCAAAGAAGAGAGTTGTGGGGAGTCCTTTTGACCCAACTACAGAACAAGGTCCACAGGTAAAGGATTAGTGCTTTGGCTCTACAGCCTAGAAGTTGCCTGGAAGTGTTTAAACTCTACTAGGACAGAGGTCAGTCAGTGCATACTCACTCACAGTCCAGGGTAGCTGACATGGTAAGTGTTTCAAAGATTAAAATTCTAAAGGAGTAGATAACCTGTGCAGCTCAGAGGTGTTTCTTGTTAAGTAAAAACTCTCATCTTAAATATCAATAGGTTTGCCTCCCAGCTTTCACAGCAAGATTCTGATCTTCAGCCCCGAAGATACAGCTGTAAACTGTGAGAAGCTCTCAAATGTCTCTGTGGGCACTTACTTTCAATAATTGTCTACTGTGCTTGTAGACCACTAGAGAGACAGGAATTCTAAGCAAAAGATGGGCAGAATTAAAAATAGGTCTTTAGAAAACATTCCTACCAGTAATTACCAGCTGGGCTTATATAATTTTCAGGAAGTTAACCTGGGACAAAAAATAATGATCTGTTTTTTGTTTGTGCTTAGAAACCAGATTGCTTAGCAAAAATGTGGGTTGAGCCACATACATAAGGGGACAGATCCTTAAGAAGACTGAGCCTTAGGTTACAGTCAGCAGATATTTGTAGATCTGTGGCATCTCCAGCTCAGAGAGTAGTGAATATAAGCATGAGTCTACTTGCTGTGATGTGACTTGCCTAAAAAACGTTTTTTGCTGGTCAAGTGCATGGTCTGCAAGTCAAATAGCTTCTTCTCTCTTTCAGATTGATAAAAAACAATATAACAAGATTTTGGAATTGATTCAAAGCGGCATTACTGAAGGAGCAAAACTTGAATGTGGTGGTAAAGGGCTAGGAAGAAAGGGCTTCTTCATTGAACCTACGGTGTTTTCCAATGTAACAGATGACATGCGGATTGCCAAGGAGGAGGTATTGACACAAACGGGCAAGATCATTTTAGAATGTCCTAAGCATGATTTTATTGTCTTTTGTTTACTACCTGGGACAAAAGTTTTAGAGTGAAAATTACCACTATATTAAAAAAAAAAGAAAAAAAAGTAAAATCTTTTCAGACCTCTTTATGCACACAGCAGCTGATGACATCAGTTGGGTAAAGAAGCTCAGTTTTGGTCATTGGCTGTAAAGTCTTAGACCTCAAAGAAGGGAAGAATGGATGAGTTCCACTGAGGTGACCGCTTTGGGAAATTCCTGCAGTTTTACAGCCAGCTATTATCACTATTAAATGTTGCTACGGAACTCTGTAAAGAGTACAACAGGACAGAGAAGACAATTTAAAAAGCAGAATAAAACAGGAATAAAATGCCTCTGAGTGGGCTGGTTTGTTAATTAATTATTAATCTTTGTTGCAGATTTTTGGGCCCGTTCAAGAAATACTGAGATTTAAAACCATGGATGAAGTTATAGAGCGAGCCAACAATTCTGATTTTGGGCTGGTAGCTGCTGTCTTTACAAATGACATAAACAAGGCCCTGACAGTCTCTTCAGCAATGCAGGCTGGGACAGTCTGGTAAGGCAGAAGTTATCACACTCCTGCTCTTGGAGATAAAGAGTTTGACTCACTATCATTACAGCACCTCAGTTTTGCAGCCTTTGTCTGAAAATTGTTTATCTAGACCATCCTTGTGGTGAATCACTAACCAAGATATGGAACAGCTGTAGGGAGGTGGTGTGACTCTGCTCACTGCGGGTGAATGCTATTGAAAACTGGAAAGTGTCTTGCTTCCCGTTAGAATGGCAGCCGCACTGCTGAATGGCGTTACTGAAAATAAACAAAGTAGAGTATAAACCGTCCTTTCGGTGGAGCAGAGGAATCCTGTGAGCTTTCTGCTAAAGGCACAAAGAATCCTGTACTTTCTACAACATTAAGGAACTGAGAGGACACCTCTTTAGTCCTTAGGAATAGGTAATGCCACTTCCAAAGTTTAATAGCTTGCAACTTGGTATGTTGCAACTAGGTAAACTAAAGATCCACAAGAAATCAGGGAGAAAAAGGACATATTCAAATATTAATACCTCTGTATTATAAACTGGCACTGAGGTTTGTCAGCAGATTAACAGTTCATTACTGAAGCTGCGTCCAAGTGTTTGGTGCCGTCCTCCAGTCCTCACAGGCGAAATCCCATTCTCCTTATAAGTAAGGAGCAGAATGTTCGTTTTGTGGCATAAATCCCTCATTTCTTTTCAACATGAAGCAAGTTTGTTATTCCTAAGAGGTATACAGTGTCCTTAGCTCCACAAGTTTCAGCCTCTCCCTGAGTTGTCCAAAGGTGTCTCTGACAGAGCAGTTGGACTTAATGTCTCTTCCCGTTACAGGATAAATTGCTACAATGCCTTAAATGCCCAAAGTCCTTTTGGAGGATTCAAAATGTCTGGCAATGGGAGAGAGATGTAAGTATTACACTGCTGTCTTCTAAACTGTTCTCAGCTCTACAACTTAATGAACATTAGTGAAACTTTCCATGCAAATTAAGATCAGGAAATATTCCCATCTGAGGATCAGGGCATAACATAACTGATAAACATTGCCACTTCTAAATGCAATTGATTAACACGGTAAGACTTTTTTTTTTTTCTTCTTTTTGATATAGCAGGATAAGTTACTGGAACTCCCTTCTTATTCTGAAAGGAACTAAAAAATTCTGAGTATTTTTCTGAACTTGGAACCTGTGTTTTCTGAGAGTTTTCCTTAGCCATATTAACCAGCACTTCTGCAGAAAGATTCTCTTTTTGGTACTGCTGTGCGCTTGTTGACTGGTTTAGTGTACTTGTTTCAGAGTCGCTTTGCCATATATTTTGCCTCTCTTGCTATTTTTTTCCTTATTTTTTTCCTATGTTTATTAATATAGGTGCATCAGAATTTTATTAAAATGTTATCTATCTCTTCCAGATTTATAAACAATATTAAATGAAATCAGGCCTAGAGAAGAACAGACAAATGTGTTTCCATCCCTTTCAAAAGATCACCTTCCATAAAAAGCTTTCTGTCTTTCTTATTCCAGTTAGAACTAAGTGCCAAATATTTTGAAATGGAGCTCCATGCTCAAATATTGTCCCCTGTACCTAATTTAAAGACTTACCAGTTTTTAGTTCTCATTATAATCACAAGGAAGTTTATCAACTGCACGAGCCCCAGATTGGTTACACAAATAAAGGATTCAATTAATTTCTGTGCAGGAGGCTTGTATACCAGATTATGTCTCACCTAAGCTTTCAAAATAGCTTATGGCTAATGGCAAACGCAGTAAAACTAAAGTAAGGTCAAACTCTTTAAAACTTTAAATATGTTGAAGTATACAACTTGATCTATAAAATAAGCTCTACATAGTCTGAAATATTTTCCCTCATTAGGGAGTACTTTGAATAACACATTCATGCTATTCTCCACATTCATGAGTTATGAGGTGATCTCACACTGGCATAAATATGTCAGCTCATCTAACTCTTATCATTGTGAAAATATTCTAAAACTACTAAGCTTGATAGAGCGCATGAGTAACTTGACACCCAAGAGTGACCCCATTGACTTCAGGGAGGTTAACTGTGCAAGCAAAATATTCACATATTGATATCGTAGAGTTTTTGAAAGAGGGGGGAAACCAGGCAGCACCCCAGGTCCCATGGAAAAATCTATGGTAGTTGTACACTTGATTCCCATCGACAGCTTTGAAAATATTCATCATAAACAATAAATATTTGGAATGGCAATAATCTCTATCTCACAAAAATGCCTAAAAACGTACTTATGAGTAACTATTCTACTCCTTTCAGAACCCCTTTGATCAGATATCACCTTCTAACTCACCTCCCCCCCCCGCATTAATATCTCCATACTTTTTATTAAAACGCCACAGTTTCTTAGATCCTTGTTTTTAAGGGACACATTTTACAGCATAAATAATGTTGAGTCAGGTAATTAAAGAAAAAAAAAAGAAAAAAGAGAAAGTGTCCATATATATGTGTGTCATTGCTAAGCTAACACTATGTTACAGCCAGATCATAATTGTGCCACTCTGCTGTCTGTGCTAGCACTATATTATCTGGGACTTGTTTCGTTCCCGTATATAAATTCACATATTTTTATCACACATGGGGGAAAAAATACACACAGAAAGTTGAGATCTGCTATATTCATTTTACACTCCCACAAAATGTAGCAGGATATGCGTATACTAGTAGAGAACCAGAACTCATGTACACAATACTATTGATTTCTGTTTACATTAAGGCTACATACAATATTTTTGTATTCCTAAAGGTATCTAAAAGAGGGATTTTTTTTTTTTTACATTTACAGTTATCACTACTCGAGTGGTAAAATTTAACTTCTGTAACTAAAAATCAGGTGACTCACCTCAGATATCCACATGCGGCCATTTTATATTAGATAGAGTCCCCCAAAATTCTGGCCCCTGTCCAAATGTCTTCAAGGGAAGGAGGTGTCATTCTACTTCAGAGCTATCCTTTAATGTCAGAGGAATTATTATGGTCTGGACAGCTCTGAGATACAGCAGTGCATAGTTGCATTCCCAAAAAGAAGTGCAAGCAGGAGAACAGCTTGGAGTTATAATTCTTCTCCTTATCTTTTTTTCTCTTGGACTGAGGGAGGGAAGAGTGTATGTAATATTTCTTTTTGAAGAGCAATTTGTTCCCCTTCTCTCACACCTACACAACCAACAGATAACATCATGCAAACTTGACCCATGGGTTCCTTCGTTTTCACAGACACAACCCTTGTTCTCACCCTGACACCAAACTGCAATCCAAGATGACCCAAAGTGGCCATGGAACAGGATATTATCACTCTCTACTTCCTCGTATTAGGCTGTGGGCACAAGCAAGCCCTTTAATTGAACATACACTGACTCTTCTGCTCTGAATGTCTGGAATAACCCATCTTCCTATTCAGCAAGAGCAACTTTTTAACTTTTGAAGAATACTTGCCTTAGAATTCAACACAGTTGTCCACTTCCAAACTTTCAGCCAGAAAACAAATGAATAAGGCCCTGAATCCTTGAGCTGAAGAAACAGACAATAAATATATCTAATTTTGCTTGCTAGACCAAGAAAAGAAACCAAATGGCAGTAGGAACATACATAAAAATGCCGGATACTCTGTTGGCTAGGTTATCTATTGACTTGCAGAAATGTGTCCAACAGGTGTCTGGAGCCAAGCCACAGCCCTACCAAATCAAGCAGAAACTTTCACATGGAGGGACTTACCAGCATTAGCTATTGGGCTCCATGCGGCTCCTGGTGACAGCTTCCACTGAGCCATAAGGGAGTGGTTCTGTGGCTCAGCTGAGTCTGACAAATAGCTAAAGTTTTTGGTCATTCTTTGGAGAGTTTTTCTACTGAAAGCTGGGGGTGGTCCAAATCAATGGGAACCTTTCACATGTCAAAAAATCTTTACTAATATATTCCCTTGCATGTACTTAAGACTCTGGTAAATCCTAAAATGCCTACTGAATCTTCGGTCTGAGTTAAGTATCAACCACTATATCACATGTAACGCTTACCAAGCCGACATGCATGTCAGAAAGTTTTCAAAACTGCAGGTGCAGTAAAATGGGCTGGTGAGTACTGATATTTCTGCCCAAATGAATTGACTTTCCAAGGAAGGTTACAGGAGTTCCTCCCCCAATGTTACATTTTGTGCAAAATTTACCATGTAGAGGTAATTACAAAGTAGGCTATGCAACACTGGGGGCATACAGAGGGGTTGAATTGCTTTGAACAATGGCCCCTCACTCCATTCTGAAAGCAACACTTATTAGAAGGAGGTTCTGAGAAATATCCCTGAAATATTCTTTATGCTTCAGTTGACATTAAATTCTGCACAGGGGGATCCAGAGTGTCAAATAGTAAACATGCTAACACGATATGCATGTCAGCACGTTTAGATTTTAATATAAGTAAGGGAGCAGTATTGTCTATGTTTTAAGGGTGGGGAAGAACTTAACCAAGAAACAAATGCAAAAGGATCCTCATATGAGTTCGTATAGAAGAGATACTCTACTTCCAGACTTGGACTTACACAGCATCCAGCAGACATATTAGAACTTAACTAATGACTTGACTAGAACACACTTCTCCATTACTCAAAATATGCACAGCAACATGCAAATACCTATACTTCAAAGGAGACAGGCGTAACTCCCAAGAAGCCCTGTAATATCCACTCTAAAACTCAGCCGAGTTGCCTAAGAGATGAGCCAGGCCAGAGCTGGCTACAACAAAATCTACACAGCAATTAGAAACACCTATTTCTTAAGCATAATTTATCCAAAGCAGAACATGTACCCCTCAGAGCCATGTGTCAGATGACTGGGACCTATTAAGTGGCTAGCTTCTAGCAGTATGTAAGATGCTGTGCCAGGATAAAAGAGGTCTTCTATGTAAATCTAGTGGAAATCTG